GGTTGAAAACCCAGAAGGGCGGCCTTGGCAAAAGTTAGAGTGTAAAAGGTGAGGGTTAATACACGAGTGTACCTACCCCGAACTACGTAAGGCTTGATTCCCATCTTTGGGATACGTAGGCAACTTCATTCTGAAGTCCAGCCGTAAAATACTTCAAATTCGACTTTGTCCATGTGATGGTTCTGGTAATGTTTGTTTTCTCTGTCTCTAAGAATTTGGTTGTAATTGTCACTATGAGGACTGGTTGCCACATGTTGCTTCGCTATTCAGACTGGGGGCAACTTTCCGTTGCCGTGCACTGCTGAGGTGCCATTCAGACAAGGGGAAATTTTCTATTGCCATACAGTGCCGTTCAAACAGAGGGGCAATTTTCCATTGTAATGGATATGAGGTTGTGCATCTCAAGAGTAGGTTCCGTGCTCGTTGAGCAGTGGCCATTTGTAAAAACAGTTTTTGAAAATTTTTGCTGAAGGTGACTAATTTTCTTGAAAGGTATTCCATTTTTCAAAACTGGACCATTTCTTGGACTCAAAAAAGGAAAATTTTCAGTGCTTATAGCCTGACTTGCATGATTTTAAATTAGAAAATCGAACAGGCATGTTAATCTAACCCTCATTTTGGTTAAAATTGTTTTAGCAGAAGCCAAAAAACAAAAAATGGTCAAAATGATGAACTAGGGGCACAGTTGAATCAGGTGTTCTGTCTTTTCCCCGTTATTAACATACTCACCAGAAAAGGCACTCTACTTGCCAGAAAGGGCACTCTACCCGCCAGAAAAGGGCACAACTGAAGCTAACAACAAAGGGCTAAAAGCTCTCTCATCCTCCAATCAGCGAGGTGTCAAGCTAAGTGCGAAGCATGAATTAGAATGGATAAAGATATTCCATTCCCTAATCTGGACAGATCTGATCACATCCAAACTCCCCAGCAGAGCATCGTCAACCGATGTCAATTACAGATTTGCTACACACCCAGTTGTAGCACAACCCCTCTGTGGGAAAGTTCACTGTTGTGAGCAGAAGAAGAAGAATCTAGCAGAATGCTAGGGGCAAGAGCCCGCAACTTTCTGTTTATCCATCAACCACCCAGGGGAGGGATAAAAAAAGAAGAGAGATTAAAGAATAGAGAGATGTGCGCTGAGAGAAAAAGTGTGAAAATGGCTTTTCAGAAAAATAGAGCCTGAGGGCCAAGTGAGGTGAGAATCACAAATAAGAAATGGTGGGAAACAATACCTGAAGAAACTGGCTCCTCGTGAACTGAGAGGTCTCCCACTAGTAGAACGCATCTGAGTGTTGTGTGTGTGTGTTTTTGTTTGTTTCGATTCTTGTTTTGAGTCATTTTGAGTGTCAATAGATGTGTTTAGGTTGTTTTACCTTGTCTTTCCCTTCGTTGGGCCGTTTTGACTGTGGCCAGTTGTAGGCTCAATACCCGGTTAAGAACTCATCTCTCAATTTTAAAAGTAAATCGTTTTGTGCTTAGAGTGCTGTGTCATTCTCTACGATTGTGCAAAACAAGATTCTTTCCTTCATAAGCCGCAGGGTTCAACCCAGGTCATGTGAGAACAGTAGAACCAGAACCTATCTGAAACTACATAGGTTCTGGACTGCAAAGCAAAAGAAAAGAGGGAAAATTTGGAGCATCTTAGTGTGTTTCAACTGCGGCAAATTCTGAGACTGCATTCCAGGTGCATCATGTCAGGCCTCGCCTTTCTCTGGAGTATGAGTGTATCTCGACCCCAAGCTTAAGCCTGCTTCAAGTCGGAATGGTAATTAAAGTAGTAGCAAATGTTACCCCTCGCCAGTATGAACAGGGTGTACCCTTTTCGAGCTGAGTGTGTTGCAAAGCCCTCCGAGAGATAAATCGGAGGCCCCAGAGTACATGTTTGATGCCCCTCTTTTGCGTAGAATGTGCACTTTCATATACACTTCTATTGCATGCGTGCCGCACATTGTTATGATTCATGCATAGAATATGCTTGTTTTCGTTTCTGCATAGAATATGCTTTCAATATTGCATAGAATATGCTTTCAATGCTGCATATAATATGCCTGTCTCTTGCATAGAATATGCTTGCTTTCAATATTGCATAGAATATGCTCTTGTTTCATACTTAAAAAAAAATGCCCTCATACTCGCATAGAAAATGCTCGTATCTTTTACATGGAAAATGCACTCTTCCATACTTGCATAGAAAATGCATTTCATCACACTTATTGCATTTATTTACATCTTGTGTCTGTTAACCTTTTACACTGAGCAGCGTTTAGGATTGTTGTCCCCCGGGACTTAACTTAAGATGCGTGGAACGTGCTCCCAAGTTGTTTTCTTTCCTCTTCTCACAAGTTCAGCGTGGTTAGAGTCTGTCCTTCCTCACACGATTTCAGCGTGTTTGGAATTTGCCTTTCCTCTTTTCACGAGTTCAGCGTGGTTACTAGAAATTTACAAGAGGTTACCCACATAATTTATGTTCATGCAATGCAACATAAAAGGTACATTCCAAAGTATCTAGAAATTTACAAGAGGTTACCCACATAATTTATGTTCATGCAATGCAACATAAAAGGTACATTCCAAAGTATCTAGAAATTTACAAGAGGTTACCCACATAATTTATGTTCATGCAATGCAACATAAAAGGTACATTCCAAAGTATCTAGAAATTTACAAGAGGTTACCCACATAATTTATGTTCATGCAATGCAACATAAAAGGTACATTCCAAAGTATCTAGAAATTTACAAGAGGTTACCCACATAATTTATGTTCATGCAATGCAACATAAAAGGTACATTCCAAAGTATCTAGAAATTTACAAGAGGTTACCCACATAATTTATGTTCATGCAATGCAACATAAAAGGTACATTCCAAAGTATCTAGAAATTTACAAGAGGTTACCCACATAATTTATGTTCATGCAATGCAACATAAAAGGTACATTCCAAAGTATCTAGAAATTTACAAGAGGTTACCCACATAATTTATGTTCATGCAATGCAACATAAAAGGTACATTCCAAAGTATCTAGAAATTTACAAGAGGTTACCCACATAATTTATGTTCATGCAATGCAACATAAAAGGTACATTCCAAAGTATCTAGAAATTTACAAGAGGTTACCCACATAATTTATGTTCATGCAATGCAACATAAAAGGTACATTCCAAAGTATCTAGAAATTTACAAGAGGTTACCCACATAATTTATGTTCATGCAATGCAACATAAAAGGTACATTCCAAAGTATCTAGAAATTTACAAGAGGTTACCCACATAATTTATGTTCATGCAATGCAACATAAAAGGTACATTCCAAAGTATCTAGAAATTTACAAGAGGTTACCCACATAATTTATGTTCATGCAATGCAACATAAAAGGTACATTCCAAAGTATCTAGAAATTTACAAGAGGTTACCCACATAATTTATGTTCATGCAATGCAACATAAAAGGTACATTCCAAAGTATCTAGAAATTTACAAGAGGTTACCCACATAATTTATGTTCATGCAATGCAACATAAAAGGTGCATTCCAAAGTATGTTACGAATAAATCTTAACCATTTATTTGTTAGGTTAAACTCTTAAATAGTATAATATATGTGTCCACACTGGATTTAGTTGATCTTTTATTGAATTTGTCATAGGATTCAAATTGATTTATAATGAAATCATATTCAGATTACACTAGATCTTAAGTGACTAGGATTCGTTGCCACACCTATGGCTAGTGCTATTTGTTTATAGTTTTGTGGCGTGAGTTCAAGTCACATAAATAAATTTATTGACAAAATAGTGTAAAATTCACTACCTATCTCTCCCAAACTATTTTATAAGTGAGAGTCTTGTGTGCTGTATCACTATTTTTATTTTTATTTTTGAGATTTGTTAGAAGCCCAGCTTATTTTCATTTTAAGGCATCAAGCATCTTTTTAGGACTATATCTGAGACAAAGTGTTAAGGGATCCTCTTACCAGACTCAAAGTCTAGGTTTTGAGTCTCATCCCAAAAAACTGAAATCATGGATTCATCATGTAATGCTAGGGATCATGAAAAAAAGATCATGAAGATGATCATGAAAAAAATTTCACCCTTATATTACACATATAATAAAACATCACACTCTAATCAAATAATGAAAAATCTTCATAAAGCATTTCATGATATATTTTTCATGAACCCTAATATTATTCATTTGTCATTTGCTCAAGCAGACATTAAGATTTGAATCCCATCAACTATATGAAAAAAAAAAAGGTCATACCTAAATTACCCATCTAAATACAAAAAAAAGTAAAATAAAATAAACACATGTATTGCACATGTATTGTATTTTTCTTTATTTATTGTTCATCCAAATAAAATGGTGATAAATCATGATCTTCTCTTTTCTCACAAAGGGTCACCATCATAGTGTTTTTCTAAGGTTGTGTTTGGATTTGAATTTGTGGAGGCAAATGAAAATGAAAATGAAAATAAATTTGTTAAAATATATATATATTTCATTTATTTATATTTTTACAAATTTAAAATTTAAACATAACATCAAGAAACAGTCTAATTTAAAAGCAGGCAACCACATAATTTATGTTCATACAAGATAATCGTGACATGGAACTAAACTTGACAGAGAGTGTATCCAAAAGATTAATTACATAACAAACTTGAGATGAACTTTTAATATGAGCAGTCTGTTTCAATCCGTCTTGCTTAACACGGTAAGATAGCAGATAATTAATTGTAACCCAGGAAAAAAAAAATTATTGAAAAAAAAACAATATGCTGTATTTTATTGAGAAAATCATTAAATTTTTGTGGATCACAAAGCATGCGTAGGAAAATATCTTCCATTTACCTTGACAAAGTCAATAGAACCAAAACCAACTAGGCCTAGACTAGTTGGTCACCATACTTTTTTTTTACCTTAATTTCAAGGAGGTCATGGGTTCAATTCCCCTTAGAGGGTTGAATTAAGAGAGAATTAAGAGAGTACATTTGTCAAGGGTGAGAAGATTTTTTTCTATAGGTGCTAATGTAACAACTAATAACTAACTAACATTTGCCGATAAAATAAAATAAAAAAAAAAAAGTCGATAGAACCAAGTCTTGATGCAGATAAGTCACCAAAGACCTGACTTTTGACTTGTAGAATAATTTCTCTAGTCTGGAACTGCAATTATAAATTAAAATCTGTAGACATTGTTAACCAGCATTGCACATTATCACTCCAGCAGTTGTCAAAGTTGTTTGGACAACATGTTCTGGAGCACCCGAAGAACGTATCTTATCAGGCCCATCTTCTTCTTCCTCCATCATCTTATTCTCACCACAGCCAATAGCTCACCCACCCCTTATTATTACCCGGTAGATGACATTGCAGTCAACTGCGGCTCCTTTGGCAACTCAATCGCACTAGATGGCCGTGAGTGGACTGGAGATACCGGGTCACAATCTACTTTTTCGCGGCATCCAAATGAAAAATCAGTAACCTCACAAGTTCTCCAATCCCTTTCTGTCGATCCTATCCCCTACTTGACCGTTCGGATATCTCACTCTCGGTTTGCCTATACATTCCAAGTCAATCCAGGCCAAAAGTTCATCCGCCTGCACTTCTATCCAGCTTTATACCCTGGTTTTGAAAGGTCTAAGGCCTTCTTTACTGTTAAAGCTGGAGCTTACACCCTTCTCAGCAACTTCAGCACTTCCCTTACTGCTGATGAGTTGGGCTTGAAATCTTTCGCTAAAGAGTTCTGTGTGAATATCGAAGAAAATCAAGCACTCAGCATAACTTTCTCTCCATCGCCAGGCAGCACTTCTGATAGCATATATGCTTTTGTCAACGGGATAGAGATCACCTCTATGCCAACCGGTCTTTATTACACTCCTGATGGCGATCCAGGTGCTCATGTTGTCGGCCAGAAACACCGGTTCCACATTGATAACAGCACTGCACTTGAGTTGGTTCAGCGCTTGAATATTGGGGGGAGCTCCATTTTATCAGTAGAAGATTGGGGCATGTTTCGCGGGTGGTCTCGGGACTTCAATTACTTGCTAGAATCGGGTGTTTCACCAGTTACTACATCCATTCCAATCAAATACACAAACATCCCAACATATGCTGCACCACAGAAAGTTTATCAAACAGCTTGGTCAATGGATCCAAACAGGCAAGCAAATAACATGTGCAATCTTACATGGAAATTACCAGTGGATATGGGATTCAGGTACTTGGTTAGGCTCCATTTTTGTGAGCTTGATTACGGGATAAAAGAGAGTGGGCAAAGGGAGTTTGGCATCTATATAAATAATAAGACTGCTGAGGCTCATGCAGACCTAATCAAATGGAGTGGTGGAAATGGGGTTGCAGTGTATAGGGACTACGTGGTGATGGTGGACGGCAATAGAGTGGAAGGCAAGCGGGACCTGCTTATAGCTCTACAACCTCAGTACTATGAGTCAAGGAGTAAATATAATATTGGTGCAGTCCTAAACGGGTTAGAAGTGTTCAAGTTGAGTAACCCTGACAACAGTCTCGCTGGTCAGAATCCTGAACCTGTCGCATATTCTGCTAGATCTACTACTCCAATGCTACGGAAGTTACTGTCACCATTTCGTAATGGGAATGCAATTGTAAGTGGTCTGATAATTTTGATCACTTCACTGAATATCATTGTTTTCCAATTACGTCTTTGGGCAGAGAATGTTGGCCAAAAAGAAAAAACCGCATCATCGAGGTCGGAGGAATTATGCCGCCGTTTTTCACTTGCTGAGATACAATTGGCCACCAACGACTTTGATGATGCATTGACCATTGGGGATGGTGGATTTGGTAAGGTGTACAAGGGATTGATTGACAAAGGGGCCACTGTTGTAGCTGTGAAGCGCTTGAAGTCAATGTCCAAGCAAGGGGCTGAGGAGTTCTGGACGGAGATTAAGATGCTCTCTGATCTCCGGCACACTCATCTTGTCGCTCTAATTGGTTATTGTAATGATGGTCAGGAGATGATCCTTGTTTATGAATATATGGTCCATGGAAGCCTAGCTGATCATCTGCACAAAATCAGTAGAAATAGAATTTCTCCTCTACCCTGGGAGCAACGACTCAACATTTGTATTGGAGCTGCGCGTGGATTGGAATACCTTCATACTGGTGCCCAGCATAGAGTCATACACCGCGATGTGAAAACCTCAAACATTCTATTGGACGAGAATTGGGAAGCTAAAATTTCAGATTTTGGACTATCCAAAATGGGTGGCAACAGCACAAACCAGTCAAGCACCTATGTTATTACAGACGTTAAAGGCACATTCGGGTATTTAGATGTTGAGTATTTCTTGACCCATAGACTGACCCGGAAGTCGGACGTGTATGCCTTTGGCGTGGTGTTGTTCGAAGTGCTCAGTGGAAGGCCTGCGGTGGATAAAAGATTTGAGGGAGAGGAACGCAGCCTAGCACTTTGGGCCCAACGCTGCATCAAAGAGGGAAAACTTGATCAGATGATTGACCCCAGTATAAAGAGTCAAATTTCCCCACATTGCTTGAAGGTCGTTGCGGAAGTTGCTATCAGATGCCTACATAATCGTCCTAATGAACGACCTAGAATGTCAGATGTGGTACAGAGGCTTGAGTTTGCATTAGCATCACAAGATCAAAGTGCATATTCTTCTACAGATATAGAGGGCGAGCAGGGAGAGGAGGTGATTAATTTTAGTATGGTTGTCAACATGCCAATTGATAGGCTTACAGAGGGAGAGGAGGAGGAGGAGAAGGAACAAGAGGAAGAGGTTATTGATATTAGTGGGCCTGACAAGAAGTGTGTTGATGAAATTAAACAATTGATTAGTACTCAGCAACCTACAGGCTCCCCTGTATCCGTGCAGGAAAGTAAAGCTGATATGCCCAAGGAAAGAGCCAACAAGAAAACTATAACCACGGTGGTTCAAAGTATTGCTAAAGGTATTGATCGTCGGAGGAGAAAGACAAAGCCCAAAGATTCTAGCAGTGGATCATTAAGGTGGTGGAGTCGAGCCAGGTCAACAACTGAAGTAAAACCTTCAGTATCACCAGAGAGCTCGCACTGTGAAAAACCTTTACCAGCACTGCCAGACAGTCCATGCAATGAACCACTGCTACCTGTACTTCCTTGTCGCCGTTTCAACCTCACGGAGATTCGAGCAGCCACAAATAACTTTCACCGTAATCTCGTCATCCAGTATGGTGGTCCTGGTGGTGAGATTTTCAGAGGCTATATTGACGACGGAAAACTTCAGGTTGCCATCGAAAGGTGTACGAAACAGTCGGAGAACAAGTTTCATGAAGAGGTTGAGGTGCGCTCTCGGGTCCATCACCTCCATATAGTTTCTTTCATTGGATACTGCAATGATTGTGATGAAACAATCCTCGTGTATGAGTATGCGGTAAAGGGGAACCTCAGTAATCACCTCAACAGAGGGGGAAAAGATCCTCTTCCATGGAAAAAGAGGCTTGAGATCTCTATTGGTGCCGCACAAGGACTACAAGACCTTCATACAAGTTCTCAAGAGCCAATCATCCATGGCAACCTGAAGTCGACCAACATTTTGTTGGATGAGAAATGGGTTGCCAAAGTTTCAGGTTTGAAGGTGTCGAAGTCAGACCCCAACAACATGACACGGAGTATTGTCACTACAGTTGTCATGCAGACTCTCGGATACATGGATCCTCAGTACTTACTAAGTGGACGCCTAACGACCAAATCTGATGTGTACTCGTTCGGTGTAGTGTTGCTGGAAGTACTTTGTGCTAGGGAACCACTGTGTCCTCATCTAAATAGGAATCAAGAGAATCTAGTGCACTGGTTTAAAAGTAGCATTCAGAAAAAAACTATTGAACGGATCATTGATCCGTATCTGATAGGAAAAATAGCACCTAAATGTTTGAGGGAATTTGTCAGGATTGCAGAGAGATGCTTGCTTTTTCGGGGAGTTGAGAGGCCGCTGATGGATAATGTGGTGACGAGCCTGCAGCTTGCATTGCAGTTGCAGGAAACAGCAGGGGATGATATCAATTTCGGAAAGCCTGACGATCCTCCTGAGAAATTCCATGAAGCTGCCATTTGTGCTTACAAGAAGGTTTTATTTCATGCCTCAAATCAAGTTTAGATTTCACTTGGTTGATATAAAATTTGGATAACAAATTAGAATTTCAGAAACAAATCATAATTTTGTTACTACTTTTGAAACAGGATATTTATTTTGCATGATTTTTTCTTTTTGAGAGATTATATAGAAATATTCCCACGCTGATGGAGGAAATAATTATCTTTCAAAATAATGCTGAACGACATTAAATTAAAGGTATAGTAATACTGATAATTAGGATGCTACAAAACTAATGGTAATAACAACAAAAGATAATAGCACTTTCAACTAGTGGACCTAGAGATGGTCTTGGGCATGGCATCAATCTGGAAGTAGATTTGGCACAAGCACTTAGCTAGAACTTAAATGGGAGGGGCACATTGAGCCTAAATCATTCAGGCCTAGGTAGGCAAACTGCTTCTGTCCAAAATTCCTGCGGATTGAGAAGAAAAAAAAGGAAGAAGAAGGGTCAGTTAGAGGGATTCACTAGTTTTACTAGACTTCATAGGCATAAAGCTGCTACTGTTAGCAAGCGCAACTCCAAATCTGTCATCTACCGACCAACAGCAGCTGCTATAGCACTTTCAGATCTGTCTGAGGGTGCTACAAGTCCGAACAATCATCTACTCGAAGAAGCTAAAGCCACTCTTCAATTGGGGAAATCTCTTGGAATCAATTTCAATGGGAAAGAAGATGTTGTTCTGAACAAGATTTTTGAGCTAGAACTGCAGGATAAAGAGAGAATCAACAAAGAGACATAGGCCTGTAAAGTAAGGTATAAATGATTTTTTGGCTTAAAGTATCAAGAGTTGGAAGCAAGATTGTAGGTTAGTGTGGTAAGTGTGGAGGATTTAAAGTCTGAATGCTCTTGTAGGTTATAAGCTTTTGTAGTGTTTGTCTTTGGGTGGCAACAAGTGTTGGCATAAGCTAGTGTTGGTTCCTCACCAACATTATGCTTTATTCCCTTTTTTCTTTTTTCCTTTTCATCTTTATTGATGGTATCTCATATGTAATGTATGCGTTCTTCATCAATAAAAATTTTTCTTTGCTGATAAAAAAACAACAACAAAAGATAATAAATTCAAGCTACTTGAATTGTTCCACCCCTTTTTCTAGACTAATATAGTTGAGTTGGGTTAAACAAACACCTTTTGGCATCCAATAGTTCTCCAAATGTTGTAACACCATTTCTGGAGGTGAGAAGTGCCTTTATTTTTCATAATAGAAGCCTCTTGATATGGTTAGAGCATCAAATTTGACAAAGGAAGCTCCTACAAAATTTGGAGCCACAGCTTTTAAGCATCAGTTGTTCTCCTCCACAGCTCCAAGCGTCACCTTTTTGCCATTGGTCTCATCCTTTTGTAAGGTTCAATAAAAAATAATGTGGATTTACTTAGAAGCCAAAAAAAGGTTGCTCAGGTAACCATAATTAGAGACCACAATTGGAATACAAGTAGTGGGTAAGAGGTTCAAGCTATAATGTGACAGTCATTGTGGAGGAAGCTTTAACACTCATAGAAAAGCGTTGATAGGAAAAAGTTTAGGTCTGACAATGGAGGCTTACATTGACGAACGCCGGGGCAACTTTTCAAAGGATGGTGACCAAGATGTTCGCTCCTCTGCTAGGCCGGACAATGGAGGCTTATATTGACGATATGGTGGTTAAGAGCCGGTATCAAGCAAACCATTTGTCCGATTTGGCCGAAATATTCGCCATTCTCAAAAAGCACAAGCTACGCCTAAATGCGTCTAAGTGTGCCTTCGGCGTGGGATCCGAAAAATTTTTGGGTTTCCTAGTCACGAACCGAGGTATCGAAGCAGACCCTACACAAATCCGAGCTGTGCAAGAGATAAAACAGCCTAGCTCGGCTAAGGATGTGCAGCATCTGGCCGGAATGGCCGCCGCGCTTAACCGATTTATAAGCCGGTCATCAAATCGCTGCCGCCCTTTTTTTCAAGCCTTGAAATCAAAGTTCTCATGGGATAAAGAGTGTGACCGGGCTTTGGCCGAGCTCAAGGAGTATTTGTCTTCCGCGCTGTTGTTGGTCACACCGAAACCCGGAGAAGAACTTTACCTTCATCTGGCCGTATCGCAGCATGCAGTCAGTGCAGTGCTTGTCCGGTCGGAAGGAATCAAACATCTACCTATCTTCTACGTCAGCAAAACCTTGCTACCGGCAGAGTCGAGGTACTTGCCGCTGGAAAAACTTGCGTTAGCGTTGATGATGGCTTCAAGGAAGTTGGCACACTATTTCCATGCCCATACCATCATCGTCTTGACCGAGTTCCCTCTCAAAGCTTTGTTCGAACGGGCAGACTTCTCTGGTCGGATTCTTAAGTGGGCGGTCGAATTGGGACAGTTTGATGTGAAGTTCCAGCCGCACACAGCCATAAAAGCCCAGACTCTGGCCGATTTCGTTGCTGAATTCTCACCTGGAACTCATCCGGCATGCCCGGTCGATATTGCCGTGGTAGATGAAGAAATGAATGCAAGCTCGACCGAAATACCACAGCTTGGCGGCATTGGCGACGCGGAACTTGCGCGCACCACCGAAGCCCCTTCAGTTAATACGATACTACAGCCCGGTGATGCGATGACGTAGTTGGCTATCACTGACCAACCCGCTTTGTCCGACACCACATCACCGAGGAGGGAAGAAATGGAACCGCTCAGCACAGAGCCTACGGCCGGCATAATACCGCAACTTGGCGATTCGCCTACGGACTTAGGCATTGTGGATCAACTTGCTGAGTCCGGCGCCGAATCACCAAGGGGGGCTGAAATAGAACCGCTCAGTACGGGACCGGAAGCCGAACAGCCGAGCAACCGTGATCCCGTCAACCTTCAAGCTTCTCAGGACCCCTCAGAGTGTTGGAAGCTCTTTGTCGGCGAAATGTGAAAACTTTTTGTTGATGGCGCCTCGAACCGTCACGGTGCCGGGCTGGGTATAGTTCTGATTTCACCAGATGGACTGACTATAGAACATTCTATCACTCTTGGCTTCCCAGCATCCAACAATGAGGCCGAGTATGAGGCGCTATTGGCCGGTCTCAAGAGCGCGCTTCAGATGCAAGCATCCGAACTAATGGTTTACAGTGATTCCCAGCTTGTAGTTAACCAAGTTTCTGGGGTTTATGAGGCAAAGGATGACAGAATGATGAAGTACCAAGCTCTGGTCAAAGACCACATCAAGCGATTAGGGTCCAACAGATTGGCCGAGAAGAAAACAGCCAAGCAGATGAGTTGGCCGGCCTTGCTTCTATGGTCGACAGCACATCTCCCAACCCTCTTTTGATTGAATTCTTTCCAAGGCCCAGCATTGAGGAAGCCGGGTAGACAGAAGCACTCTGCGCCGAGCTAGGTCCTTCCTGGATGGACCCATAATCCTCATTCTCAGATAACGGACCCTTCCAGCCGACAAGAAGGACGCGCATAAAGTGCGAGTGAAGTCCGAGCGATTTTGGCTCTCTCCATCAGGCGCTTTATACAAGAAGCCTTTCACCGGTCCCTACCTGAAGTGTGTGCACCTGAGCAGCGTAGAAGTCTTCCTTTACGAAATTCACGAAGGCATCTGTGGCAGTCATATAGGGGGCAGGTCCTTGGCCTACCGAGCTATTTCGCAAGGCTATTGGTGGCCGTGCATGCAAGCCGACGCCCAGAAATATGTTCGCAAGTGTGAGAAATGCCAGAAGTTTGCCCACCAGATCCACCAGCCGGCCAGGGAACTTCTTCCCCTCACCAGCCCTTGGCCCTTCGCGATGTGGGGGCTAGATATAGTGGGGCCACTACCAACCGCACCAGGCAACCGGAAGTTCTTCATCGCAGCCACAGACTACTTCACCAAATGGGTTGAAGCGGAGCCTTTGGCATCAATCAAGGAGAAAGACGTGAAGCGGCTTGTCTGGCAGAATGTGGTCACACGGTTTGGCGTCCCCAAAATTCTGATCTCTGATAACGGCACCCAATTTGACGGCCGCCTGTTTAGAGGGTTCTGTGAAGATTTGAAGATCGAATTCTACAACTCTACTCCGGCTTACCCGCAGTCCAACGGTCAAGCCGAGGCTTCGAACAAGACCATTCTTGATGGACTGAAGAAGAGGCTTAAGAAAGCCAAAGGAAAGTGGGCTGAGGAACTCCCCAGTGTCCTTTGGGCATACCAAACAATCCCGCGGCGATCTACCGGAGAAACTCTTTTTGCTTTAGCATATGGCATGGAGGCAGTCATCCCTTTGGAAGTTGGTATGCCCACCCTCAGAAGTGAAAGTTTTGAGCCCGAGCTGAACGCTGAAGCCATAGCCTTGGAATTGGACCTAGTGGAAGAACGCCGGGAAAAGGCTCTTATCCATGTGGCCGCCTACCAACAAGAGCTTTCAAGGAAATACAACAAATCCGTGCATCCCAGACCGTTCAAAGTGGGTGATTGGGTCTTGCGGAAGGTCATGGGCAATACCCTGGTGCCAGGCGAAGGCAAACTAGGGGCAAATTGGGAAGGACCCTACAAGATAACCGGTCTGGCGGGCAAGGGGGCATATCACTTGGAAGACTTGGATGGTAGAGGAATACCCCGACCATGGAATGCAGCCAACCTCAAGTTGTATTATTTCTAACTTTTGCCCTCTTTTTTGTGCAAAGAAATTTTTTGCCTTACACTTCATGTAATATTCATTTTTGTCAATATATAGAAGTGACTCATCTTTGCCTTGGCATTTTTTGTTGCTTTGAGTTTTGCGTATTCTCAACCGAGATGTTCACTCCGGTTAAACGAGTTGATGTTTTGTTCAACTTAAGTACTCTCAACCGAGATGATTAGTCCGGTAAAAAAGTTGATGTTTTGTTCAACTTAGGTATTCTCAACGGAGATGTTCACTCTGGTTGAAAGAGTTGATGTTTTGTTCAATTTAGGTACTCTCAACCGAGATGATTAGTCCGGTTGAAAAGTTGATGTTTTGTTCAACTTAGGTATTCTCAACCGAGATGTTCACTCCGGTTGAAAGAGTTGATGTTTTGTTCAACTTAGGTACTCTCAACCGAGATGATTAGTCCTGTTGAAAAGTTGATGTTTTGTTCAACTTAGGTATTCTCAACCGAGATGTTCACTCCGGTTGAAAGACTTTAAGTTTTGCTCGACTCTG